GGGACACACAGTGAAATGAGGAAGGAGCAAACACAAACACACGATGGGTGAGTACAAGGACAGCTGGTTGATCACTGGACTGGAACTGCAGCGGCTCAATAACCTGGCTGCAGTCCTCTGTTATACTTTGTTACCTCCGGAAGAATGGAGTATGGGAACACAGCATTTCTGTGTTTTTTAAAGTCATAACTGCATGTTACAAAGATTACAGTTAGGATTGTCGTTCATATGTTTTACAACATCAAAGTATTTACAAACAAATTGTATTTTTGAGGATATTTAAATAGGAATCTGTCATGGTGAAATTTTGTACTATTTATGTGAAGATAAATTTTCAATTCTATCAGAATTGAATTTTTTAATCAAATGCATTATTATTACACTTTACTTGCACGTGTCTCTCAACATGTTGAAAATCATGTACCATACCATTGTGTTCACGTGACCATTTTAAACACAAGTGAATGGAAAGATTCTAAATACCCAAAACTATGATGAAATTATTACATTTATAAAAGGAAATAGTATGTAGAATTTAAATATATATATGAACATGCTCAAAAATAAAGCTTAACTACTGGATAAACTCATAAAACGTAAGTATGTACATCCACACATATATGCATACAGATACACACATAGGGACATACATTCTGAATTTCAGGATGATTTGCTGATTGACAAAGGTCAAAATTCAGTACAAGGTGATTAAGGTGCAGATATTTCTCACTGAATCTTTATTTGTGGATAGTCAGTCCCTCTGAACATACCAGAAGAAACCATTAACCATCATGATCTTTGGGGAAAGGCCTGGAGGGTGAGTGGACAAAGGTACAGGGAATGCACGCCTTTTAGAACATTCTTTTATTTTGTTAAATATTAACATGCAATTTATTCAAAATATAAATATAATAATTTCTTTAAAAACAGGAAGGAGAAGTTGTACCTGACTAAAATGGTAAAATAGAAATGGGGGCTGAGGATACACAATTTATAGTTCACTTATTTCATTCAAGAACATTGAGATTTGAAGTGAGTCATGGTCTATATTTTGCAGTCGATGAAACAGAGATTATTTCTGCACACCTCTTTCTCTCAAGAGCAATAAACCAAAAGGTATAAAGTAGAAATTTCACCAATTCTACAGTTAATTATTCTTATAGGTATAGATTCATGTTTGTCTCCTTCATCATGGCATAATATCATTGGAGATTTTCTTAATTATAATATATTCTTTCAATTTTTTGTAATTCTTCCACCATACAAAAATTGGGCATAATTAAATTAGTAAATCCTTTTTAGCCACTAATTGCTGTCATAAGTGACGATTAGAGTAAACAATATTCCTAATGCACTTACTAATAAATATAAAATACATGTGGAGTCTTAGAATGATATTATTTCCATTTGTGTCAAACTCACTGTGGTGACCTAGTCACCACCTTCCCCTCTTTATTTGTGCATCTTTGTCTGCTCTTCAACTTCCTGTCTCAACCTAGCTGACCTCCAAGTCCACACCAGTTCTCCACTGGTGTGAATATTCTTACACTTGATAAATCTGCAAGGATAATTCCCTCATCTCTTCCAGGTCTTCATCTTAAACTGTGCTTTTACAACTACCTCATGTGAACACACACACACACACACACACACACAATTGTCGCCCTTTCCTGCTCTGTTGTTATCAATAGGATGTTTCTTAATTTGATATTACATCTTACAACTTCAACTTAAATGCAATTTCTAGAAAGAAACAAAATTGTCCTCTCTTTCATCACTACTGTAACCCTAGCATCCAAAACAATATCCATCATTTTACCTGCCCTCTGTGCATTTACTGGGTTAACTAATGGCTTAATATTGCCTATTCAGTGTTCGTTGGCAAACCTCATGAGGTCATGTTTCCCTTTTATAACAGTTTGTATCTATACTTTATCAACAAGATTCCCCTAACTGTGATGCTAAACTTAACATCAGAGTTTGTGAAAACAACACACCAGAACATGAGGAATTTGTGTCCTGAATTCAGTAAATGGCTTTAGCAAGGGAGCGGCATTTGTTTTGGCATTTTGTTGTCTGGCATAACCTGTTTGAATTAGTCAGCATCAGAAGCAGTATGAAAATTTCATTACATGACCAGTGAGTCAACACAGACAGCAAGGAGATGCTGCCACAGACACATATATAGGAGAAATGTTCTAAATGTAAATGTTGATGGTGGGGAATTTCAAGAATCATGAACAGAGCAGAGGACATACTAACTGACATACGTGTGTAGCATGATTAATAAAAACCCAGAGACAGATTTTGGGGTACAACCTGAAAGATCAGAAAAGCAAAGCAGACAAACCACTAGACAACTCTTACCTCTGTGAAATCTTCAGAATGAAAGAGAGTGAGTTCCTGTCTCATTCTGCCTTATATTCCTCTCCAGTGCTGGGATTAAAGATGTGCACCACCACTGTCCAACCTCTATGACTAACTAGTGTGGCTGCTGGAATTAAAGCTGTGTGCCACCACTGCTTGGCCTGTGTGACTGACTAGTGTGACTGTTTTGTGCTAAGATCTCCAGGCAAGCTTAATTTATTAAAATACAAATAAAATGTCACTATACAGGTGGTCAAGGACTTGGATTTACACACATGAAATAATGTACTGTAGTTCACAAATTACTTTCACTGAAAACACTCCTACAGATTTGTGTGTTTATTTAACACCAGATACAACCTAACTTGTTAATAACGCTGAAATACAACCTGCTCCTCTGAAGAGCACTGATATTAACAGAAAAAAAAGATTAATCTTCTAAGTCTTTTCTCTCACCCTTCCCCTTATCTCCTCTTTCATCATTACATGCACACACATGCCCACATCTACCACGAGATACACTAAAGTCACACATATATTTACAACATATATTTACAACATATCATCTGCTTAGTCACACAACCTACTCTGAGATCTGAACATTCTCCCCTGGCACATACGCATGCCAAAAAAAAAAATCTATAAACAAATTAGGAAAATAAAAGACTTCTAGATAGTGACTCTTAAGTTGAGCCTACTCAGTTTATGGTATAATTTTCACAAACTATAGCCAACTCTAGCCCCAAGTTACCCTTACTCACCCAATGATGTGGTCTAAACTTCCTTTTCTCAGAAATAAAATAATTCTAATAGTCCATGGGAAGGCACATTCTCCGTAAGCCAAAATCTCAGGAAGTAGAAGATCAAGAGCTCAAAGAGTTTACCTGGGCTACATAGTGATTTTCAGAAAAGCTTCGGCTATATGACAACTTCTCTAATAAAGAAAGGAAAGGAGTGAGAGAAGAAGAGGGAGAGAGAGAAGGGGAGAAATAGAAAGAGGAGGGGAACAAAAGGAAATTTCTGTCAGTATTACATTCACCCTTTAGTCTAAGCTGCTGTTCATACTTTAGAGTGGAAATAAGAACTTATCTATAAATACAGCATTACTCTCAGGAGCATTCACTTTATTCTGACAGCGGAAATCAGGGTGAATACTCTCATACTTTAGAGTGGAGATAAGAACTTATCTATAAATACAGCATTACTCTCAAGAACACTCACTTTATTCTGACAGCGGAAATCAGGGTAAATCCTCTCATACTTCCCCAGCAGCGTCTTGGGCATTCATATCTTGGGGTCTTCTCTCCAAGGATTCATTCTGTCCAAATTTATTTTCCCATCTGTATTAATTTACTCCTTTTCCTTTTGTTTTAGTCAAACAGTTTCACTGATGTTAAAAATAAAGGATGCTTTGCCAATTATGAATGAGTAAAGAGTGGTATTAATATCAAAGATGAGGTGGCACCACTGCATTCCTTGAGAAATCTAGCACCTGGTGAATGCAAAAAGTCATGAAACTTAGGGTACTATACAGCAAATTAAAATGATGAACTTTAAACTGAGTTCTTGATTTGATCATTTACCATCAGACACAGAAGACTGAGCAACCTAAGTGTTTGGCTAACTTCCCTGTGGGAACTGATGTTTATATAGACACTTGGGAAGAGGGGCAAGTGGGCCTATTGAAAAGCTGCAAGCCTTCTAATAAATTCATTTGTGACGTTATGATTAATATTATTTCCGACTCTAAGTGGAGTAGTAATATATTTTGGTTCAATTCATCAAACATCACGAAAATCAACTTAGATTCATTAGAATTTATGTCAATATTTTATTTTTTTATCTTTTTGTCATTTTTTATTGATTTTTACTGAGCTCTACATTTTTCTGTGCTCCCCTCCTTGACTCTCCCCTTTTCTTCAATCCTCCCCCAAGGTCACCATGCTCCCAATTTACTCAAAAGATCTCGTCTTTTTCTACTTTCTACCTCCCATGTAGATTAGATCTATGTATGTCTCTCTTAGGGTCCTCATTGTAGTCTATGTTCTGTGGGATTGTGATTTATGGGCTGGTTTTCTTTGCTTAATGTTTAAAAAACTTTCTTTGCTTTTTTATGTTTATGGATCTGGGTTACCTCACTCAAAATAATGTTTTCTAGCTCCATCTATTTTCCTGCTAAATTCAATATGTTTTTTCTGCTGTGTAGTACTCTATTGTGTAAATGTGCCACATTTTCCTCATCCATTCTTCGGTCGAGGGGCATTTAGGTTGTTTTCAGGTTCTGGCTATGACAAACAAAGCTGCAACGAACATAGTTAAGCACATGTCCTTGTGGCACGATTGAGCATCTTTGGATATATATTCAAAAGTGGTTTGATCAAAGACCTCATCATAAAACCAGCCACACTGAACCTTATAGAAGAGAAAGTGCAAAGTATACTTGAATGCACCGGCACCGGAGACCACTTCCTAAATATAACCCCAGCAGCACAAACACGGAGAGAAACAATTAATAAATGGGACCTCCTTAAACTGAAAAAGCTTCTGTAAAGCAAAGGACGTGGTCAACAAGACAAAACAGCAGCCTACAATATTTTTGTTTTAATGCTATCTTTGTTTTCTCTACCTTACAGAACTGTTTCCCCTGCAGTTCTGTCAAGTTTGCCAACTGTGTAAATGAATCTGCATACAAGTCAGTTTCTTGTTTCTGCATTGACTCCAAGGATTCTTACTTGGATCGCCAGTGCAAAGGGAAGACCTTAGAGCCGATGAAAAACTCTGGGGCTTTTCTTGATGACCAAAAGGTTTGACTGCAAGACCTCTTTGAAGATTTCCCACCAGACCACCAATGAACATGCTAGAGGAACAGAGTGCCCCCTTTCTAGTATGTTTACTGATCAGATTGCAGACCTCCCATCTTAAAATTGTCTTCTGCAGAATTGAGCGCTGTGCCCATGGATTCAACAATTTTTCCCTTTTTCTGTTAGCCAAAGCCATGCATAGGACTTTCTCACTTCCATATTTTCTTTGGTGCATGCCGTTAGAGGTTTCAGAGTTCTGCTCTCTTCTCCTGCATGTTCTCATGTTCTCTCTCTCTCTTTTCCTTCCTCCCTCCTTCTTTCTCTCTTCATCACATATAATGCCCTGTGGTATTTTGTTGTGATATTTTATTTGTATTTTAATAAATAAAACTTGCCTGAATATCAGAATGCAAAGTTAAACCACCAGAGGCCAGGAAATGGTGGCACACACCTTTAATCCCAGGACTCCAGAAATAGAGGCAGATGAGTGTCTGTGAGCTCATGGCCACCCTGGACTACACAAGATTGATCCAGAAACAAATCCAGGTATTGGTGGCTCACACCGTTAATCCCAGTGTTTGGGAGTCACACACCTTTAATCCCAGCACTATGGAAGTGGAAACAGGATTGATATGGCTGGATGGAGAGAGGAATATGAAGGGGAACAGACAGGAATTCATAAGAGTGTGGAGTCTGAGGATTTGTGAAGACAGGATTTCACCCTTTTGGTCTAAAGATTTGGTAGAGGTAAAAGGTCTCTCTAGTGGTTTACTGCTTTGCTTTTCTGATCTTCAGTTTGAACCCCAATATCTGTCTCTGGGTTTTTACTATTCATGATACATCTGGCACCCAACATTTAGGGACAAATTCATGAAAAAGCTATTTGCCTGTGACTTTACAGCCACTGACATAGGCCAGAGCTACAAGTGGCTGGAGTCACCACCCTATCGCCTAGATTTTTCTCTCTTCTCTCCTAGGGGTCTCTCCCTGAACCCTCTTCCTAGGCTACTGAAAAACTAGATAGCTGCCTTGAAACCCAGTCAGACTTTTACTGTTCTACACAGCAGCAGTAAGCCTCACATCTTCATCAACATCGGTGGCAGATTTGGTAAGACAATTTGGAATTCTTAAAGGGAGGAATTAGTTAAAAGAGAGTTTTTTCCCCACATTAAAAAAAAAAGGGAAACACCATTATATAGGAGGGATTTGGGTGATGTGCTGGACTGTTTAAAAATCGAAGGATTAAATGAGGATAACTAATTTAGATGGGATTTATATAATGTCAATTGTAAACATTATCAGCAATATCATTTTGGTTTTATCACTAACATTGGTTAATCTGAGTGCTAAAATGCAAACTTTATAAAAACTAAATAAAACATATCATAGAGATATTCAAATCCTGATAGAGGAATTTAATGGAGAACCAACTTCAGTGTTGCAATATAAGAACAGGGAGAAACAGCCTAAGGTTTTCAAACAACCAAACTAAATAAATCCAGTCATTTTATAGGAATTGATGGAGGCTCTGTAAGAACTGACTGGACTCCTGTGCCAATGCTGGATTTAAGGTGATTTCAAGGAAGAGATGGTCTCATATGGCATGCATTCACCTTTTCTGAAGTAAATGTTAAACTCGTGGTCAGTTTGAAATAGAATTGTCCCTAAAGACTTGATAGTCTTAGTTAAAGTTGTTTTAGAGCCCGGTCCAAAATTACAATGGAGAACCTGGTTCAGAGAACAGGCTAAGACTATTGAAAAACAGAGTAAAGCTAAAGGTTTGGAAATCTCCCAAGATCAAATTCCAAATTCTTGGAGAAGAAGATTATGCTACTGTAGAAAGACAACCTCTATATGATGGTCACACCTTGGCTTTATGTCATGCAGCAGCTTTGAATACTTGGGACAGAAATGAAGAAGTAGGAAAAAAGATTGAGTCATTTACTAAAGTCATACAGGGCTCAAAAGAAACCACACATTTCTTACAAAGATTGACATGAACAGTAAATAGGATGATACCAAATTCAGTAGCTAGTCAAATAATAATTAAATCTCTGGTTTTAAAAATGCTAATTCTCAATGTAGAAGGATAATTAGGCTGGTAGAGGCAAGATCGGTACCTTTGGAGGAAGGGATCTGAGATAAAATTAATATTGAATCTTATGACCATGATGATACTTGGATAAGAGGTGATTTCCAGGGGTTTGAGGAAAAATAAAAATGTCAAATGTTTCAATTGTGGTAAATAAGGTCACCTTAATGGGATTGTAAACAGAGCATTGCTAGAAACAATGTTTTTTCTAAGCATAATTGGGTTCAAAATGCCCCTCTCTTCTAAATTATGCAAAAGGTGTAGCAAAGCCAGGCAGTCAACTAATGAATGTAGGTAACAAAGATATTCAAGGTAATCCTTTGCCAACAAGAAACTCCTTGAAGGGCCTCTTTCAGGTCCCTATACAAAATCCTCTTCAGTCATTTCCTGCCATCACAGAGGAAACTCCTTCCCAGAGCAATTAAAGAACCTAATGACTATTGTAAGAAAATATACTGCTCTGAATAATAGAACAGCTATAGAAGAGATAACAAAAAATTGAGGAAAAACCATAAAGGGAGTATTTTGGTAAACTTCTATATATGAACAAAGACCAAAATTAAAGATACAAATACATGACATTGTCCTTTAAGGTCTGGTAGACACAGGTGTGGATGTAACAATAATTTTATCAGAATCTTGGCACCCAAAATAGCTTCTTTGGGTTGTAAATGTTTAGTTTTTAAGGATCAGAACAGTATCTCAGGTAAAGCAGAGTGCAAGATGAGTTGAGTGTATAGGGCCAAAATGACAGAGATGAATATTAAAAACCACACATGGCTAACATTGCAATGAATTTGTGGGGATGTGATTTGTTACAGCAATGGAATACTCAGGTTAACATTTCCCCAAAGTAGAAACAAGCCATAAATTAACATAACTTTCTGGGAAACATATTACAAGATATTATAAAGAAAAGTCATTGACCATTCGGGTTGTACAAGAACAGGGTAAAATAGCTGCTGATCTTCTAAAGGCGCCAACCTTTAAAATGGTTGAAAAACAAGGTTGTATGGGTTGTGCAATGGCCTTTAACAACAGGGCAACTGCAGGCTTTAGAACAGCTGGTGCAGGAGCAACAAAATTCTGAGCATATTGAAAAATCAACTAGATCTTGGAATTCTCCTGCCTTAATTATTAAAAAGAAATCTTGAAAATGGAGAATGGTATCAGATCTAAGAGCTTTTAAAAAGATGATTCAGTCAATGAACTCTCTACAGTCCAGCATTCCTTTGCCTTCTCTATTACCTAAAGGATGGCCTCTTATAGGTATTGATTTAAAGACTGTTTCTTTACTATACCTTTACAAGAAAAAGACAGATAAAAATTTGCATTCATACTACCTATTTATAATAATTCTCAGCCTGCTAAGAGATATCAATGGAAAATCTCCTATAGGGCATGCAAACTAGCCCCACCCTGTGTCAATATTTTGTGCAACAGCCATTGGAAATTATATGTAAGCGATCCTGAATCTCTAGTTTTCCACTACATGGATGATATTTTGCTATCTGATTCAAATGCAAATTCTTCAGAAAGAATGTTTGAAGAAGTCATGAAAATTTTGCCTTGTTGGTAATTACAAATTGTTCTTGGAAAAATACAAAAAAAAATAGCTTCTATTAGTTATTTAGGCTACAAAAAATTTAGACTCCAAAAGGTACAGATTGGGAGAAACTGATTGCAGAATCTTAGTGACTTACAAAGATAACTAGTAGACATTTCCCATCTACAGCCTACTATTGGGACAAAACCTGGTGAACCAATTAATTGAAACAAAACCTTAAATGAGGAGAAGGACTTAAATAGTCCCAGGAAATTATCAAGGGAAGCTGGGAGAGAATTAGCTTTGATAGAAGAGAAGTTACAGAAGGCACATGTGAATCATGTGGATCCATTTTTTTTTGAAGCTGAAGACTGAACCCAGGGCCTGTGATTGCTAAGAAAGTGCTCTATCACTGAGCTAAATCCCCAACCCCTGGATCCAAATTTTAACTGCATTGTGGACATATTACACTCTAAACATTCTCCCATAGAAACTTTAATGCAAAGAGAAGATTTTAGCTTAGAATGAATCCTTTTACTATATAAAGTGAGTAAAAACTTGTGGAAAAGGTCTCTGAGTTAATTTTAAAAGGAACACTGAGACTTCATCAATTAGCAGAAATAGACAGAGCAGAAATTGTAGTACCATTCACTAATGGTGAAATTAAAAAATATCGGCAGAATTTGAACCTTGGCAAGTGCTTGCAGTAATCGTTTGAGAGAGATTAACAACAACTATCCAAAAAACAAGAGAATAGACCTTATATAGAGAACTGAATCCTTCCTCACATTGTACAGGACACACCAATAACTAGAGTCCCTACAATGTATACTGATGCAAATAAGTCAGGAAAGACAGGTTACAAATCAAAAAATTTAAGTAAAGGGCATCAAAGTTCTCATGATTCTGTACAGAAGTCAGAATTATATGCTATTGACATGATACTAAGGAATTCTAAAGAACCACTCAACACAGTTATCAGTTCACAGTATGCAGAAAGAGTTGTTTTGCATATTGAAACTACTGAATTTATGCCAGATGATGCAAAATTGACTTTAATATTTATTCAGTCACAAGGTTAGTCAAGAATAGGCATCATCTCATATACGTAACACACATCCACACCCATAAGTGTCTTTTAGCACAAGATAATGCAGAAATCAATCAATTATTAATTGGAGATGTGCTGAAGGCCTCAAAATTTTATCAAAAACATCATGTCAATAGCAAAGGATTAAAAATAGACTTTTCCATCACATGACAAGTCAAAAACATTATAAGGAAATGTCCTACTTGTTCTTTATACAATCAAACACCATTAACTGCAGCAAGTAACCCAAAGGCTACTCAAAGGAATGAAATCTAGCAGATGGATGTGTTCTGTTTTGTAGACTTTAGAAAGCTAAGATAAAGCTGGGTGGTAGTGGTGCACACCTTTAATCCCAACACTTGGGAGGCAGAGGCAGGCAGATCTCTGAGTTCGAGGTCAGTCTGGTCTACAAGAGCTAGTTCCAGGACAGGCTCCAAAGCCACAGAGAAACTCTGTCTCAAAAAAAAAAAAAAGAAGAAGAAGAAATCTAAAATATATACACCACACCATTGATATCTATTCAGATTTTCAATGAGCAACTGCTCTGAATTTGATAAAGGCTGATTTGGTAATTACACATTTGCTAGAAGTTATGGCCATTGTAGATATACCTGTACAAATAAATACAGACAATGTTCCAGCATATGTCTCAAAAAAATGAAACAGTTTTTTCTTGACTTGAGTTTTTTCTGACTTGAGTTTAATAAAGTTGCCATTTACTCTTGTAGATGAGCCAGGTCTCTTTTGTCTGTGTCTCTTTTTCAACCCTCATGACAATCGTCCCTTCTCGTGGGCCCGAGTTCAGGAAGTGCGCAGCTTGGGTCGGGCGTGGGTATCCATTGGGAAGTGCAGACTCTTACAGATGGCATCCCTCGAGTGGGCTTGGCTTTAAAGAAAAATTGAAGAGTCGCGTCCTGCCGTCAGTGGATCCGCCACGAGAAACCCAAATAGAGGTGAGGGATACCCCCACGATCCGGAATCTGGCCAGATTTTGCAGTTTTGTCATATGCAGTTGTGCACGGGTGATAAGGGAGTGAATAGGTTGAATAGTTTGATTTTTAGGAAAATGGGTGCTGAAAGGTCTGATCCAGAGCTGAAGGCAGTGGGCAAATCAGCTGCTAAACTTCTTATAGAGACTAGGCACCAGAATCAAAGGTGACACAACACAAGGGACCATCAAGGTAATTTTAAACTCAGTCCCTGGCTCTCACATACAGGGAACTTTAATCTTTGCCTAAGAGCACAAACTGGGCGCAGTTAGCTCCCAGCGGAAATCCGTTCCCAAGGCAACAGGACAGCACTGGGTCACTCACTGTGGCTGAGGTTCTGCGAGGTGCACTCAATACAGAAAAACAGACAGCTGTATCGCGCAGGGAGAAGCGCAGGCAGCCGCCAGGTCCTGCCTGTGAGTGGCGGGGCCATTACAGACAGGCCAAGGAGGGCAAACACAGCAGTGTGCCGGTACACTCAGCCGTGGGTGCAAACTCGTCCGGACCAGACGCAAAAAGGCAGTCGCACGTCTCCCTCGCCCAAGGCAGCCAATGAGTGGCGGGCCCAGGGACCTAGGACTGGGCGCTATGCCGGTTGTGGTGGCGCCTGAACAAACAGATAATAAAGAGAATGCTAGGCGGCCAAAAAAAGGGACAATAGCCAGGCCTTGATGGTACAAAGAATCGTTAAAATCCGCCCGCCAAATCTCGGATGACAGTTTGCAGCCGGAGGGAGCGGGTCTGTGTCCCGCCCCCTGCTGTGCAGCGCAGCTTCAGCAGTTTTAAGTGGAGACTGATAGATTCAAAGGTTATACAGACCCAAAAGAGGTTAGCTAAATCTTGGGATGGTTTGTTGCCTAATTTTCTAAAAATCCAAACTGTGTCAGTTTGCATTTCCACCAGTGGTGGAGGAGTTTCTCTTAAGTACAAGTTGTGAGCAGTATTTGATCTTGATCATGTTAAAGAGATAAGGTAGAGTCAAGAGATATTTTGATTCACACTTCTCCTATGATTAAAGATGTTATGTTTGAGGATTTTTTAAATGTCTTTCAGTCATTTTAAGTTTGTCTATTGAGAGTTTTCAGTTTAGATTTATTGCATATATTTTAATTTTGTCCACAGGCCAATAGAATTTGCTCCTTGGAGACAGAGACCTACAGATCTCTGTATGTCCAAGATCTGCTTGGTTGTAGTTTAGATCCTAAACAACAAAGCACATTGCTCCCAGAGACTGATGAGGGGAGCCAATTTCAATGGCGCACACAGGCAGGATTGGCCTCAACTAGCGTCTGACAAGGTCCAGGTCATGTACTGATGTACACGGTCCAGACCAGGTTTGATTTGGGGAAGAGGAGTGGTTTGCATATTTCCACAGGATGCAGAGCTCCCGATCTGGGTCCCTGAACATCTGGTGCGGACCGTGAATTCCTCTGTTCAGAAACCTGAGGGCGAGGCGAGGTCAAGAGATCCCATGGACACGGCGACAGAGGCGGCAGCGGAGTTGGCAGATTCCTGAGAGATGATCCAGCGCCTGATTTTACCCCTTTCCCAACTTTCTGTCTCTCTGCCTGATTCGTCCCTTTTAGCCAAGGTTGCTTGGCCCCCTGAGGGGAAAACAGCTACTTCCCCCTGTCCTGATAGCAGCTTTGGATGCTCAAGGCTAAAACCTTGCCAGATATGTGGAATTACCATACTATTCATAGTATCTAAATTCGCAATTGGACGTTGTTGTCAATCTTTACAACTGGGTGTGGATTTTAACCTCTGCTGGTCACAGGTTAAGATTGTGCTGCTTTTTCTCGGACCCCGGAATACAAAATTGCTAATTGGCTCTAATTTAGTTTAGCTAGTCACACCAGGGGTCCCATTTGCCGGTGCTGCAGCCCTACCCAAGGGCGCTATGCTGAGCCAATGTTTCAGATATTGTGCAAGCACTGTCTCTTCCAGGAATGCTTATGCATGCATATGCTGGAGTGTCTTCTCCTGGCCAGTGGCTTCAGGTCCGCCACGGCCTGGCCCTAGTAGGCGCTCGCCTTGGAGTATCTTTCAGCATAAATGTGGCTGGATTCTATGTATGACTAGTGAAGCAATGACAGGTTTCTCCCCCGGGGGGGGGCGGTCTTGCCTAAGACAAGGGGTGCGTTTGGACCTGAACACATTCCCGTAGACGGGTTTAGAGATCTAACCCAACGACCAACATGCCTAAGACAGCTGCTAGTCATCATATTTTATATATATAAAAAGGGAGACTTGTAGCTACCAAAGTTTCTTCCCTTCTCTCCTGGCGATTCGCAGGGCCGTGTGACCTCCGACTTCCTGGAGACTCTGCACTAGCTCTGGCTTGAGGGGATAACCTAGCTAGAACCTGGTTCTCTTTGTTATGGTGATTCCACTTGTATTCAAGGTCTTAGCAGTGGGCCCATGCCTGCCTCCCCTAGCTGACCCTGCCCGAGGGGCCGGGAAGCTTTAATCTTCTTCTCCTGCTTCTGGATGGGAGGAGGCCTTGCATTTTCGGTTCTTCTAGCCCACTGTTATAAATATCTGACTTGAGTTTAATAAAGTTGCCATTTACTCTTGTAGATGAGCCAGGTCTCTTTTGTCTGTGTCTCTTTTTCAACCCTCAGGACAATCATCCCTTCTCGTGGGCCCGAGTTCAGGAAGCGCACAGCTTGGGTCGGGCGTGGGTATCCATTGGGAAGTGCAGACTCTTACATATTATAATACAAAGCATATTACAGGTTTGTGTTTGGTAATTACAGGATTACCAGATAATCCTATAGGGCAAGCAGTTATAGGAAGATCAAATCAAACTCTAAAGGATATGTTAAATAAAGACAAAGGTATGATAAAGACTACCAGAAATAGATTGCATAATGTTTTACTAACTTTGAATTTTCTAAATGCTAATGAGAAAGGAACAACAGCTGCAGAAAGACATTGGATAGTAGAAAAATCTACAGACTTAAATCAGCCAGTATATTTTAAAGATATACCGACCTAAAAATGAAAACCAGGACATGTGTTACATTGGGGAAGGAATTTTACTTTTGTTTCCACAGGAGAAGAAAAGCTATGGAATCATCAAAATTGATAAAGATTCAATTTGTATAAGAGAGACCTCTTGATTAAAAGAGGTGACAGTTCATCAAACAGCATGTTCATTTAATCAAAATGTTGGAAGGTTTCATGCAGAAGGTCATCATCTTTGTGACTGCCTGTTTGTTCCAGTTCTTCATCTTTGGCTCCCTGGCTACAGAGGAATGTTTTCTTCTGACTATGATGACTTATGATCGCTACCTAGCAATCTATCACTCCTTATGATACCCACTCCTGATGGGACCTTGATGAGAACTGAGATTGGTGCTCAAAGTCTGGCTTCATGGTAAAAGGCTTAGTTGTTGCTATGATGGCCCAGTTGATGTTCTGTGGCCCCAGCTGAGATGAATCACTTTCACTGTGATTTCTCACCTTTGATGGTCCTGGTTTGTTCAAATACTGGAGTGATTCAGGTAACTACATTTGTTCTCTTTGCTGTCTTTCTGACTATACTCTTTTGGCTGGTTCTGATCTCACATACTCAAATTTTAGTGACTGTGCTGTGTTGTAGGATAATCAATTTGTATACTGTGAAGATGTGTCTCTGCCAAGGCACCTTCTGATTGGTTTAATAAAGGACTGAATGGCCAATAGTTAGGCAGGAGAGGATAAGTGGGACTTCCAGGGAAGGAAAGGAACTTGGGGAAGAATCTGGCACAAGGGATTTGCCAGTGAGACTTGTGGAAAATCAGACATACACTGTGTTGATGAAAGGTTGTGAGCCATGTGCAGAGTGTACATTAATATAAATGGGTTCATTTAAGTCATAAGAGCTAGTTGGGAACAAGCCTAAGCTAAGGCCAAGTTTAATAAGTCTCCATGTCATTACTTGGGAGCTGGAGGTCCAAAGAAAGTTTGGCTATAGTATTGAGAGTTCCTCCTGGGGCCAGAAAAGCAAAGGTTTTCTCTGTTGTAATGAGGCTGCTTGTTGGTTCCCACCCAGCTAGCTTAGACCCGAAATAATCACACAGAAACTGTATTAATTAAAATACTGCTTGGCCCATTAGCTCTAGCTTCTTATTGGCTAACTCTTCCATATTAGTTTAACCCATCTTCATTAATCTGTGTATCGCCACGTGGC